GCGACGGCCGCCGGCGACAGGCTCCGTCGCCGGCGGCATTAGCCGCCGGCCGGCCGCCGGTCACCGGCTTTGTCGCCGGGCGCCTCCCGCGCGCCGCCCCTGTGGGAGGCGGAGAATGACGCCGCCGCGCCAAGTCCCGATGACAACGGTGCGTGGGCCGGGCCTGGGGCGGCGGCCGCTGGGCCCGGCCGCCGGCCGAGCGGCGCTCAGAGCGGACAGGCGTGCGCGGTGTGACCCACCTGCGCGCCATTCAGCTGTCGCGGCCGACGCCGGCGGGGCGCAGGCGTGCGCCTGACAGGGCGAGGTCGGCCCGGACGCGGGGCGGCCGGGTCGCCGACCTGCCGCCGCAGCCGGCCGGCGGGCCTGCGGGGTCCACGGCGCTCCGACTGGTGGGAGCGGCCTGTGAGATGAGCTCCGGGCCTCAGTGTAGGACGTTTATAGACCCGGTAAAGGTCAGTCGACGCTGCAGCGGGTTGCCACGGCAAGTTCATGGCGATATGCTCGATGATCCGACTGGTGCCTGATATGTGGACGGCGTAGCAGCAGGGATGATATAATTGTGACGTAAAAAGATACCGGTGCAAGGTTTCGCAACCCGCTAGTTGCTTGCCGGTTCAGTTCCCGGCAACCCGCCGGTTCCCGTTTCCGTTAACAGATGTCGCCACTGGGCAGCCGCCCCAATGGAGCGTGGCTGCGGACGACGCCTCGCCCGGGGCCAATAACCGGTCGGCCCGGGATGACCGCCAGATACCGCTGACCTTGGCGCTCAGTGGGCGCGTGACGACGGCCAAGCGCGTGTCCCCTCCCTCCTCGCCTGACCGTGCCAAAGTGGCCGGGCGGGGAGAACGGGCGACGCTGGGGCACAAGCCCAACCGTGGGTTCAGAGCGTGCGATGGCCGCCGCGTGGTGCGGGCGCCGACCGCCAGGCGGCCGGGGCGGAAGTGGAAGGCCAGCTCCTGCGGCTGCGGCGGCCGTAGACTGTACGGCGCGGTGACGAGCCGTGCCTCCACGCGTGCGGGTCTGTTCCCAGCGCCATCACTGGCCGGCCACCGCGCGCTGCCCGTGCTTTGTTTGCCGGTGAGCGCAGTTCCCGAGAAAATCACACACAAACGTTTGATCTCTCGTCATAACTGGTGTGTCGGCACGCCACCGCCCCTTCCGGTGGCGGCGCGCGGTCACCGCGATGGCGCCCCTTTTGCCGGGGCGTGCTCGCCGGGCGCGGGCGCGGCCGCGCCGGCGGCGGCGCTCGCGTGTGCGGCCGGCCGGCGCGGCGGCCGCCGGCGGTGGGCCGCGCCAGCAGCGCCACCTGCCGCCGCCGCCGCCGCCGCGCGCTGACTCACGGCCGCCAGGTAGTGGTCGCCGCCGCGCCAGCTGACGCGGCGACAAAAACGGCGCGCCGCCCGGCCGTGCGAATCGTAACGGAACGCGCGCCGCCGCGCCGCCGCCGGGGTTATAGTTCAGTGCGATAGCGTGGCGCGACCGGGACGACCGTGCCGCCCGCCCCTGTGCTGTGCCCGGCCGTGCTGTCCGCGACCGGCGACGCCGGCGGACGCTGTGCACCGCGCGACGTGTGGAGAGACGACGGCGGCAGGTGCGTTGCCGGCGGCCGGCGCGCGCGCGTGCGGCGGTGAGGTGAAGCCGGCCGCGGCGCCGCCGCGATCACAGCCCGGGGTGCCGCCCGGCGCGGTCGGTCGGGCGCCCTCAGCGGCGGCCGTGCCGCTGCGAGCGCGGTGCGGCGGCGTGCGATGCCGTCGGCCATGGCGCCGGCTCCGCCGAGTTCGGGCCGGCCGCCCGTGTATGTGAGTCGCTCGGCCAGCCACGGCAGCCTGCCGCACATCGAGGTAAGCCCGCCGCGCCGCGCCGCGCCGCGTGCGCCTATATAAGGCGTCGCGCCCCGCCGCCGGCTGACTCACCAGCCGGTCAGCCGGCGGCCGTCGGCCCCGTCCCCCCGCCTTTGTCCGTCGGCAGCGCGTGCGTGCCCGCCAGCGCCGCCACCGCCGCCGCCGCCGCCGCCGCTGGCGGGTCGAGCGGGTCCGTTCGCGGCGCGCTGGAGCGGCGGTGCCGACACGGTCCGCGGGCCTCCCGCTCGGCCGCCTCGCCGCCGCCGCCGCCGCCACACGAAGGCCCCATCGGTCGACGGTGCGTGGAGGGCCCGCTGGCGACGACATTGGATGCGTCGCCCCTGCGGGACGCACCGGACGCCCCCAGCTGGGAGCCGAGCCGTCCCGGCAGCCGGGAGAGGGCTGGCCGTGAGGGCGGTCCGGTGAGCTGTGCTGCAGCGCCGGCGGGGATGGCGGCGGCTCTCGGGCTGGCTCCGGCGGGGGCGGCCGGCGGCGGGTCCGGTGCCGGCCGGCTGCGACCGCTCTGTTGCCGCCGCTCCGTCAGGCGCCGGCGCCACCCTCCCGCCGGGGCTGTCACCGGAACAGTGCCGCCCGTCTGTGTCAACATGGTGCCGGCGCTGTGGCGGCGAGAGGTTGCTTCATCTCGGTTAAGTCATGGCGGTACCCGCTAATCCGTGTCACGTGACGGGGGAGGGGCCTGTGCATCCGCATGATGTAATGCCGGTACCTGTTCCCACCCAATACATGGGACCTGCTTCTTTCCATGTCATGGTGGGACTGGCACCTCACCACGCGACGGTGAGGACCCGCTCCTCCCCTCCGCATGAGGGCGGGCCCGCTTCCGCTGTATGGTGTGTTGATTGCCCGGCTTCCTCGTATCGCTGTCGCTATGCCAAGCGCCGGCCGGCTGGCGGCACAGGGGCCGACCGGCCGAGTCAACACACCTGCCAGCGGCCACACGCCCGCCGCGATCCGAGCGACCCCTGAGCTTCGACCGCCGGCGGCGCGCGACCGCCTCTCCGGCCCGGCTGGACGTGTCAGCTGACGCCGGCCTCTGCAGGCCGTGTGGACGACCTCGCGGCCGAGCGGCGTCTCCTCCCCGCCCCCCGGCCCGCCGGCGGCCCGGAATGCCGCGCGAGGCGGCCGCCGGCGCGGCATGCTGCCGGCGCAGGCGGCCCGCCGGCGAGGAATGTCGGCCGATGCGATCAGCTGGGCGCTCGTCTGACGGCGCTGGTCCGGCCGCGGCCGAGGCGGCGGCTCGTCCGCGCGCCGGCGGCTCGTCGCGGCGCCGGCGGCGGTCGCCGGCGCCGCGCCGGAAGCGAGCTGTCGTCCAACGGTGCGGCCGCGGCCGCGGCCGGGCGCGTTCACCTGGCAGCCGCCGCGACCGCCGCTGCGGCGCCACCGTCGCCGCGGCCAAGGTCAGCCGAGCACCTGGGGAGAGACGAGCCGCGCCGAGCCGAGCCGAGATGAGGAGGCGAGCCGGCCGACGCTCGGCCCCGGCAGGCCGGCGCCGGCGCCGTGTCGGCCCCGGCCGCCCTGCTCGCGGGCCGAGCGGACGGGGCCCGGCGCGCGCGGGACGGAGTCGTGAGCGGTATGGAGCCGGTGAGCGGGCGGGGCCGCGCCGGCGGCGGTCTCACCTGGCCGGCCGATCGACCGGTGCCGTCGCGGGCCATCTCTGCCGCCCGGCGCCTGTAATGAGCTCGGTCGACCGCCGCCAGCGGCCGGGACTGACCTTTGGCTGGCGGAGGCCCGGCCGCGCCCGCCCCTGTCGCCGGTCTCGTCGCGCGGAAGTCCGCTCAGGAAGATCCGCCGGTCTGTCCGCCTGACAGGAGGGCGGCCCTCGTGTCAGGCAGACAGGCCGGCGGCACTTCTGGACGGATCGGCGTGCGGACGCAGCGATGTAAAAACAAAAACAAACGGAGCGGAGCGGTGTGATGGCCGTTGCTCCGTTGCGAAACCGACCGCAGGCAGGCAGTTGAGCGGACGTTATGGGGACGTTGTGGCAGCTGGTGTGGGAGTGAACGGGCGCTGGGCGTGGCGCTGCTAGCTGGGGCGGAGAGACGCAGTGTGTCAGTAGCGTAGCACTGCCAGTCGGCGCTGAATTGGCACCTGCCGTGTCGAAGCCGCGCGTAAGCCGACACCAGGATGCGCTGCGTGTACGGCTCAAGTGTCTGCACAGAATATGTCGAGAACCGGCGCCAGCAGCGGCAGCGCCGGGGCCGCGCCGGCATCCATAAGCCTGGTATTTAGGCCGGGTTTTGGGAGGAGTCAGGCCAGAACGGTGCTCGCCGCTTGTCGGCAGGTGCCGGTAACTGACCCGAGGGGACCGGCCGGCCGGCTCCGCTCGGCTCCGCTCGGCCGGCGCCGTCATCAGCGGGCTCATTGAACGCCGCCCGACGCGTGCTAATGAGCCGACCCGGTCGCAGGGGAGCCACTCCAGCCGGCGGCGACCCAGGCGACCGCTGGCTCGGCGTCAGTTGGCGGGGTCGCCGGCCGGCTCCGCGCGGACAGCCCGAGCCGCCGGGAGGCCGCTCCAGTCGGCGGCCACGGGAGCCGCGGCTGACTCCGGCGCTGGGCGGGCGTCGCGCAGACAGATATGACGAGGGTGGGGCCGAAAGTCTGACTGAGTCCGGGAGTAGGTCATAGAGGTCAAGAGACGTGCCAGGCTCGGCTGAACGACCATGAAAGAGCTCCCATGTGTGTCAGGTCCGTATTCTCGGAGAACGAGTGGTGGTGGCCTGGCGCTCTGGGGGATCCCGCCAAAGCGGCCGGGCCTTTGGAGATGGCTCCCCATCGCGTGGATGAGGCTTTGATGTGCCGCTGATGTTGTGCTTGGCCGCGACAGCACTACGCCACCGCGACTGAAGGGCTGCAGCTCGTGCGTCCCTTAGAATTGTCCTGTTTGAATGACGCACCAGTGGCGACGGTCCGCTCGCTCCTGCGGTGTAGTAGCGCTCAAATAGTCTGGGAATAACCTGAATCCCTTGTTTGTGCACTGGGAGTTTCTGGAACTTAGCGGCGGCCCAGTTTGTGTACCGGGAGTTCCGTTTTACGCCGGCGGTCTCGGATGAAGTGAGGCCAGGCCGCCGGGTGCGGCGGAGCCCTTGCCGGCGTACCAGGAGTCCCCGGAACTAACCGGAGCGCCTGTCTGCGTTTCAGGAGTCGACCCGCGCGCGTCCCGACGCCGAGCCGCACATCGGCAAGTACCAGCTGCTCAAGACCATCGGCAAGGGCAACTTCGCCAAGGTCAAGCTGGCCAAGCACCTGCCCACCGGCGAGGAGGTGTGTGCTGCCGTACGGCGCGGGTCTGACCTGAGCTGACCTCACCCGATGTGACCTGAGCCGACCGTGCCCGATGTGGCCTGAGCTGCAATTGCCCGATGTGACCTGAGCCGACCTTACCCGATGTGACCTGAGCCGACCTTGCCCGATGTGACCTGAGCTGACCTTGCCCGATGTGACCTGAGCCGACCGTGCCCGATGTGACCTGAGCTGACTTTACCCGATGTGACCTGAGCCGACCTTGCCCGATGTGACCTGAGCTGACCGTGTCCGATGCGACCTAAGCTGACCTTACCCGATGTGATCTGAGCCGACCGTGCCCGATGTGACCCGAGTTGACCTTGCCCGATGTGACCTGAGCGACGACCTTACGTAGTCGACTGTGGCGTGTCTGGTATGCCGCGCTCTGGTGGCTCCTTGCTGCGTGGCTGGCTGTGACGTATGCCGGCGGAGTGCCCTTGCAGACCTGCCCGGCGCAAACCTGTTCCCACAGGTTGCGGTTGCGACGGCTTTTTCCAATGCGCCGTCAAAGGCATGCATGCCACCACCCGGACGTTGGTCGCGCTTGTGGGACGCAGGAGGTGGCGTCTGATGTAGTCATTCACTGCCAGCGGGCCGGCGTCGGGTGACTAAGGCGCGTCTGGCGCGAGAGATGACCGCACCGGTCGACGCACTCTCAAACACGAATTACCACCACGCAGCGGGCCGGAGTGCCGGCACGCGAGGGCTCGCACCTCATCGGTCGACTGCCGTTGCCAGACGCGCGGTGTTTCGGGCCCGGCCGCGGGGGAATCCGCTCCTGCTGGGCGCCGCTGTTTTGCAAATGCGGCGGGATTGCCTCTCCGAGGCCTCGCTCTGTTTACGGATGCGCACTTTGATGGTGCAGCCCGGGCCGGTCTGGCGCGATTTTCCGGCAGCACGCACAAACACCGCGCCGGTTGCGCGAAGTTTGCCCGTCTTGCCGCGCTTGTAGCCGGCCCCCGTCCTGTCGGTCGGGTGTCGGCGGCCGGCTGGCGGCCGCTGGCGGCGCCGCACGCGGCCTCCCTGCGGGTCGCGTGCCCGCCGGAGCCGGTCGGCCCGCGCGCGCGCTTCGGTGACGCGGGCCCCGGACGACGGCGGCGGCGGCGGCGGCGGCGGCGGCGGCTGGGCGTCCGCAGAAGCCGGTCCCGCCGACGCCGACGGCCGGGGCCCGCGCGGAGCGGGGCGCGGCGATCTGGCGGCGGACGTGGACGCCGGATGCGATGGAGACGTAGACGTGGACGTGGACGTGGGAGGTGCCGGAGAGCGCCGCCAAGCTCTACCGGCCGTGTGGCATGGTTGAAATGCGTTTTTGTTGGAGTTATCGCGTTTGTTCGTATGAGCTGCTTGTGTGCGCGCGCGCGCGTGTGTGTGTGTGTGTCTGTTTGTGCGGGACACCAAGGGTTTTTATCTGCTTTAAGCCGGAGAAAGTCCACTTCGAGCCATCCTTGTTTTGGTGCGTGAATTCCAAGTCCAGCTGTAGTTTACGTCTCTGAAGTGTTGACAGTGCCTGTTAGACGTTTTGCCATCCAACGGGCCTGCGACTTTGTAGCATGTCCTTGATGTATGGCTATGTGATACGACTGTCCGGTGCTCAGGTTTGTTCTTTCAGTTAAAGAAAAGCTAGCAAACAAGAAGGAGCACGTGATAGGTACACCCCGGATGCGTTGTTTTCGGCAAATGTAGTCGCTGAAATTTTGACGCTGGATAGACTGTAAGCCGTGAGGGTTGGTCAAGGGCCTGCTGGCTGGACTTGCACTGGGGGCTGTCGCGTGACTAACCGCGTGCTAGACCCTATCGCCACCTCTTTGTTTCGTAAGTTTCGCGCCGTCTGCACTTTATTTGCAGGCGGTCGTTCAGGGTCGATTGAAATCAGTTTAATTGTCGTGTGCGGCCCAGTGCTCCAGCCATTCCGAACGAAGGGAGCAATCTTTGAGTTGTTTTCGCGGTTTCTAGGATCGCAAGTGGCCCCACTTGCCATACAACAGACATCGCACTATATTGTGCAATGTCTGTTGTTTTGTGTGGTTACCGTGACGCCTATCTGCACCAAGTCCATGTTCAGCGCCCTGTTTGCCGAGGGTAGTTCGCTGTCATTGTGTCGGCCCTAATGGCTCGAAGTAAACGCAGCGTGGTAAGTGCCGCAGCGCTCTGTGGTCCTGAACCTCCGTCTTTGTCAGCAAGCCGTCAAGCAGTGCCGAATCGACGTTGTCCAGACGCGTGGCGGCCCTGAACTTGACAGATCGAAAACTGGTGCCGAGCAGACCGGGGCCATATTCCGCATCGCTGCAACACCCACGCGGAAGTCCCAGCCTGACCTCGCCCTCCCGCCTAGCCTCCTCCCCAGCTGCGCTTCTTGCTCTGCACCCCAGCTCTTCGACCGCGCGCCGCTGCCCGTAGGCCGTTACCACCTGGCGCTGCTCCACACTGCCGTCGCCGTCGCCGCCGCCGCCGCCGGCTCCGCCAGCCCGGTTAATCCTCCGACCGATAGCGCTCCTGATCCCGGCTGTCGAGCGGCGGCTTATCGTGCCGCGCCGGCCGCCGGGGCTCGCCTCGGCCGGCCGGAGCGCGGCAGCGGCAGCAGCGGCCGGCCGGAGCGCAGCTGCGGCAGCGGCAGCGGCAGGGGTGCCGCTTCGGCGACGCTGCGTCATCGGCCCGTCGTTCCCCGCGTGCGGTGGACGGGGCGTCGCCGTCGCCGTGGCTAACCGCGCCTCCTCCTCCGTTCCAGGTGGCCATTAAGATAATCGACAAGACGCAACTAAACCCGGGCAGTCTGCAGAAGGTGAGCGGTGGCCGCGTAGCGGACGCGCCGCTGCTGGGTCGACTGCCCGGCGCCGTGACCCGCTAGACGACCAGGCGCGCGCGCGGGGCGACGCGCCGTGACCGCGTCGGGCTTGTGCGCGGCCGTGGACCGGGACGGTGGATAGCGGGTACCGGCGCGCTGCTGAGCCTTTCGTCAGGGCTCGGCTCGGCCGCGCTGGGTCGTCGAACAGGGGAACAGGGCAGGGGAGGTGCTCACGGCGTCCTGTGACCACGCCCTGCGCTGTCTTGGGCGGCCGCGCCATCCATCCCCTGGCATCGCGTTTGGCTTCCGCGCGACTTGGACGTTTCCATGGGATGTCCGTCGCCTCGGCTCGGACAGGCCGGCTCAGCAGCCTCACCGGCAGAGGCCCGAATCATGGTGCCCTCTCCCAGCCGCATGGACCGCGGGAGGAGCGGTCCGTGCGGCCGGGACCGCGGGAGGAGAGCCGCCGCTGGTGGCGGCTGCCACCGCGCCAGGCGGCAGCTTGGTCCATCAGCAGTCGGCGGTGGCGGCGGCGGCGGCCGTCAGCCGGCGCCGCGGCCGAGTTTGAATAACCAGAGCGTGGCGGCGGCGCGGCTCCAATGTCGCGCCGGCGGCCATTGTCCGCGCGCCGCCGGCCGCGCGCGCCCGACGGCGCCGGACGGCGGCCGCAGTGCGGCGGTCCGGCTGTCGCCGGGCCCGGCGGCGCTATTGCGGCCAACAGCCGTTGTGGACGGCGCGCCGGACCCGCGCACCGGGAGGACTTCGCTCTGACGGAGCGGAGCTGGGGCGGGGGACTGTTGTCAGACCTTGGGCTGCTGGCTTAGCAGATACGGGTCCGGGGAGACCGCGCGGTCGTCGGTTGACCTACGGCCCGGGGTGGCGAGCGGAGCTGTTACTGACGCCCGACGCCCGTCAGGGATGGCGTTGGATCCGTGTCGCCTACGACTCACGACGGGCAATCGGGCCCGATGGCGCCATTTGATGAAGTGGTGTGTCGTAGTTTTAAGAGCTTTGGCGTGGCTCGGATGTCCTCTCTCATCATCAGTGTTGGCGAGGGTAAACTCGGCTGAACCGAACTCTAGGCCATGCCAAGCGGTCTTTTACATAACTGCGCAAAAGTTATCACGTGGAATGGAGTTGTCTGGGGCGCTAACACATCCAGCGCATCTCATGAGAGCCGGCGCATCCGTGTTCGCTGGCGCGCCGTCGCCCTGGCCGCGTGCCTCGGCGGCACCGGCCGCGCTGACCGGCGCTCACTTCTGCCGCAGCTGTTCCGGGAGGTGCGCATCATGAAGATGCTCGATCATCCAAACATAGGTGAGTGCGGCTGGAGTCGGCCCGGGCCTGCAGCGGCGGCGGATCTGACGCGGCGCCGGCGGCCGGCGGCGGCCTGTCCCGCCGGCGCCGGCCCGACTGCTGACGCGGCGCTGGCCGGCCGCCCCGCTGACCTAGACATCCCGCTTCCGGCGGGCCCTCCGCCATTCGGCCGGCCGGCCCGGCTGGCGCTGGATGGCCGGCGACTCTTCCCAAACAACTCATGATGAACAGCGTGTGCACTAACTTGATATATTAGCAAGAAAGGACTGAGCCCCCGGCTTTGCGGCATTATGAGTTTAGGGTTATTATGCTGACAGTTGCCGACCCTCTCATGACCATGAGCTTGAAACACTTAGCATTAACAATCTTATCAATGTTTACTGGATGATGTCGTTTTCCCAGTATCTCCGGGTGTAATCAAAATCAACGACTGTCAGGATAGGGGCTCTAAACTCACAGCACACACTAACCTGTGCTTCTGTGTGCGGTACTGTATATTGCAGCTGGCCCGCGGTTTCGAGATTGCGCGATTCCTAGCGCTGATTGCATTGCATTCATTTGCTTGGCGTTGCCGCTGAGCGCCGTGCGAGCCCGCTGATCCCATCGGCGGATCGGCTGGCTTTTTAACGACTGCGGCCTGTGATCGCCCAACGCATGGCTGCGTGGCGACAATCCGCCGCCGTTCCGGTGTGGGCAGCCGGCGCGCCGGCGCGCCCCGCCGGCCGCGTGATGGCCATCCGTCACCGGGCACCGCCGCCGCCGCCGCCGCCGCCGCCGCCGCCGCCGTCCGACCCCGTCCGCGGCTGCCGGTCGCCGGCCGCCGGCGCCGCGGACGGAGATGCATGGGGCGTCACGGGCGGTCGGCGGGCGCCGGTGGGCCGAGCCCGGCCGGGCGCCGGGGCGCCGCCGCCGACGGTAATGGCTCGGTGGGTGGCGGTAATTGACACAGCGGTGTGCGGACGAGCGCCGGCAGCGGCGCCGCCGCCCGCCGCCGCCCCCGTCCCCCTCCGGCCCCGGCCGTGGCCGCCTCCTCACGTGCGCGCGACCAGCGGCGCCGCCGCCCGCTGCCGACCCCGTCCCCCTCCGCCCCCGGCCGTGGCCGCCTCCTCCGCACGTGCGCGCGACCAGCGGCGGTAACAATGAGCGAGCGAGCGCGCGCTCCTCTGGAATTGTCCCGCCCGGCCCGCCGCCCGGCCCGCCGCCCGGCCCGTCTCCTCTGAACCTCTCGACGCGGGAGCGCCGGCGCCACTTGAGAAGTCTCTGCTTTGTCCTCCGTGGAATGGGTTTTCGTCGTTTTATTGTCCCGGCCGCGCTGATGCAAAACGGGGCCCGGCGCGTCTGCAGTCGGCTATCGAACGCGCCGCCAGGCCCCGCCCTACCCCCCAACCCGCCCCGCCCCGCCCCGCCCCGCCCCGCCCGAACTGCTGCTGGAGTGATGCGGCTGGGCCCCGGCTCCCTTGCAGCCTGCAGCGGCGCTGGCGGGTGATGGAGCGCCCCCCTGGCGCCGCCTCGCTACCTGCGGCATCCGTTGTTCGGCGGGGACGGCGGGGCACGTCCGGGATGATTTGCGACGTGCTGGAATCATCGGTTCGTGTCGGGCGGTGATAATAAGGACGGCGTGAATGCGGCAGACGGCGGGAGTCCGCCGCCGAGTGTCTGCTGTATACTGCTGCCGGGTACCTGCTCCGTCACTTTGCAGCGAGACTGTGAAGTGGCGTGCGACACGTCTGAACGCGGCGGTGGAAACTAGGTGCCGGAGGCCCAAGCATGGAAGAAAATTTAACCGATTTGCATGAATGTGTGGATAGAAACCAGCGAGAGTGACCCTGAAATGACCATGCTAGTGAATGTCCATGCTGGACGAGTGGCCGTGTCCATCTGGCATGGTCGTAGTTGTTCTCGCCGTTCGCAGCGAAGCCGTGCGAGGCGAGGTGCCGTGTTCTGACCCAGCTGGTGCCGCTGCCCGCAGTGAAACTATACCAGGTGATCGAGACGAAGAAGACGCTGTATCTGGTGATGGAGTACGCCTCGGGCGGCGAGGTGTTCGACTACCTCGTCTTCCACGGCCGCATGAAGGAGAAGGAGGCGCGCCTCAAGTTCCGCCAGATCGTCTCGGCCGTGCAGTACTGCCACCAGAAGAAGATCATTCACCGCGACCTGAAGGTGGGCCCCGCCGGACGTGACCTGAGCTGACCTGATGTGACCTGACCTGACGTAACCGCAGCCGGCCGGCGCAGGCTCAGCGCTCATTTGGCGGCGCCAAGGATCCGTAGCGCCCCCCCCCCTCTCCCGGCGGTATTCAGGTCTCGCTAAATGACGCCACTTTGGGGATCGGCGGCTCGGAGTAGGGCAGTGGCAGTCATGCCACTGGCTCCAAGGGGACAATATGTCGCGGACGCTTTGCAACTCCATGCGCCGAATTGAGGGGCTTCAATTCCCGGCGACCCACTGCAGCACCTGCACCACTGCGCCGCCGTCTTCGCCAAGGTTTCACCTGTGTGCGCGCGCGTGGCCCTAGTCGCCAGGAGCCGCTCCCGTCATCCAGTCCGGCTGCCAGATGGGCGGCCGCCGTCGGGTGGGTGCGGTCTCGAGCCGACGTGGACCCGCACCCGCGCCGCGATAATTCGGCGGACATGAGCTGCGCGATTATCGCGGCAGAAACGCGCTCTGGGACGCGGACGGCGGCCGAGTTTGCGTCGCGGACTTCCGGACGGCGGCGGCGCGCGGGCCGCTGGCCGTCGGCGGTTTGCCCGGCGGCCGCTCGCCGGTTCCGTCGCCGTCTTTCTCCGCCGAGAATGGGCGCCGAGTGCGCCGCCGGTCTGCGACACGTTCCGCTCCGGTGGCTTTGCGTCCCATGGGCGGCGGGGCGGATCCCCGACTGGACGAACAGAATGTTCCGTCACGGCGCGGCAGCGACCTAAGTGCAAATGGAAGTTGGGCCGTGGCGGCCCGGGCGTGGGTCGACGGCGCCGTTACACCGTGCCGGTCCGGGCGGCGCTTTGTGTCGACAGCGTATGCCGGTCACGGTCGGCGGCCGGCGCTGGGTCCGCAGGGAGACGCTCGCCACGCCCTGCGGCCCTGACGCAGGTCAAAGGTCGCGAGGCACGCGCCGACCAGTTGTCGGCGCCTGCGGCCGCGAGCAACGCGGCGACCTTTGCCCCGCTGCCGGCGGCGCGCCCGCGCGCTTGTGTGTGTGTGGCGGCGGGCCGAACAGCATGGCAACGGCGAGGAAGACCAACCGTGGCAGCGGCCGGTCAGCAGCGCGCTTGTCGAGTGGCGTCGGACGTGGATGTCGCGGCGCCGGGTGGAGGCAACTGACTGGAAGTCCGACGGCCACTGTGGGATGTATACGTGGGCTGGGCTCATTGGACATTCGTCAGCGGCGTCGGCGGCGACAGCGGGCTGGGCGTCGCTCTGTTGTCGGGTGCCTTTGGGCGCCGCCGCTCGTGGCGCGGCGCTTTTGGAAGGCCGTGATTCAGCGGAATGATTGGCATGCCGCGTTGGTGAGTCGGCTTGTTGTAGTGCTGTCGGTGCTGATGTTCGCGGTGCTGCAGCTGAGGTGAACGTTTACGGTGCTTATTTGGTTTTGGGCCGCACGGCGATGCTACGTCCCGCGTCAAAGGCCACGTCGTGTTGTCGCGTCGGTGGTATTTTGCATAACGTAAACAGGGCGTGGTGATGACAGTCATGATGTTTGTGTGAAGTGAATGTCACCGCGCGCGGCGAATCACCCGTGTGCTTTGTTCGTGGACCTGACCGACCTTGCCCATTTCAGGCGGAAAACCTGTTGCTAGACAGTCAAATGAATATCAAAATAGCCGACTTCGGCTTTAGTAACGAATTCACGCCAGGCAGCAAGCTGGACACGTTCTGCGGTAGCCCGCCGTACGCCGCTCCCGAGCTCTTCCAAGGTAGGTGCCCCCCCCCCCCCCCCCTGTCGCCCGTGCCGGACCGGGGTCACGCCGTTTTGCCCTCAGACGCAGGCCGCCCGCGGGAAGGCTCGGAATGGAAGCAATCATTCGGCTTTGAGTCCTGTCATGCGCGGGCCGGCTGGCGGGCCCGCCAGTCGGTGGCCCTCAGTAACACCAACGGCCCGACGTGATCGGTCGCCGGCGCGGCCGCCGCCAGACGTGATAGTTCCCCGGCCGGCCAGACCGGACGTTGCGCAAGGCGACGCAACGGTCCCGGCGCGGCCCGTTCCGCGGGGCGTGGGAGGCGCCCGGCGCGCGCCGCATGATGCCGGCCGGCTCGGCGTCAGCGGCGCCGCGGCTGGCGCCAAAGCCGGCCTCGCGTCCGACAGCGCCGCCGGCTTGTCGCGACGACGGCCCCATGGGTTCCGGAGACCGACGCGATGCTGAGTGGGCTGCGGTCCTATGGAAGGCAGTGTGTCAAAATCGGCTCAGCAAATGGCGCCATATAGCCTCGGCAGCTGAGTGCGTCGTAAAGCCCCAATGACGACGATGATGACGACGCCATGGATGTCGAAATGTCTTCACCAAAGCCCTGGAGGAGGCCGAAATCAGCGGAAGATGTAATCTATTCGTATATGGGTGACTGAGGTTACGAAAAAAAATGGTCAGCACTGAGTGTCCGAAGTCGTTCGTAAAATGCGTCAGTCCCCATCGAACATATGTAATTTTGACACATCTGTGGGAAGTGGACACCGAGTCGGGCGGTCGGTGCTCGTTGGATTGGTACGCGATCTAGCAGGTTGTGCTGTGATTTGGCTGGGCGGTGAACTGCGCTCCGTTCGTCCGCACTCCGTGGTCCCACGTCTCCGGATATCCAGGGTCTGCTGGTCTGCACTGCGGCGCCGTCGGACGGCGGTTCCGCCACCTGGTCTGTTCGTCTTCAGCGCTGTCGACAGCCGGCCGCGCCGTGTCGTGGTGTGCTGTGTCGTCTGCTCGGCTGACGGCTGGTGGCGCGGCGCCGTGGCCGCTGACCTTCGGTGGCGCGGTCGGGCGGCCCAGCTGTGATAAACGCCGCGCCGGCGGTCGATGGTTCGGGCTGTAAACCGGCCGGGCGCCCGGGGCAAACAGCTCATCGCCGGCCGCGCCAGGTCATCTCCGTCGCGGAGGTGCCCGTCATGGTCGACGCGCGTGCCCGTCCAGTCTCTGGCAGCGACGGCGGTCGGCCAGTTCCGGCGGCGGGGATGGACGGAGGCTGTCCGACTGAGGCGGGGCCAAGGCCATCTAGGGGGACGGGCGGCGGGCGCAGAGTGGGGAGTTGCAATGCGCCACGTGTCGGTTCTCGGAAAACGGTGAACGCGGATGTGGAGGAGCGCGGTGAGGCCGGTCTTCATGCGGGCAATGGGGCCGCGGAATCCGGGATGGTGTGATCTGCCTGTTGAGGAGCAGTGCTCGGGCGCGTGGCAGGGGGTCGGCGACGAGCCCGCTGTCACGGCCAGCGGTGCCGGCCGTACCTGTACCGTCGAGAATAACTGAACGACCGCAGCCGAGTGTGGTATCCCAATGCTTGGCTATTTGGCTAGACGTGGATGGTCTCATAAACGTATAATTCACTGCACTCCATGACGGCGTGTTTTTTTTTCTATAAACGTCAACCGAAGAGGAAAGACGAAACGCAGATGGCGACCAGCGCACAGCTAGCTTCAGAGATACCTTGGCTTAGCTAGCTTCATGCTGTAGTGATTATCAGACGGCAGGCCTCCAAATCCCCGGGTTTGCAGTAGCCGGCAGGAAGTCAGCGTCACGTGGCTGGCGGCGTGTCACCAGCGGCCGTCCTGACGTCTGGCAGGTGGTGACGGGCCTGGCCAGCCGGCCCGTCTCCGCGGGGGCTGGGCCTGTGGCTCACAATGGCACAACAGCGCCGTAGATAACCCGGCGGGCGGGGTCGTGAATGGTGGCCAGCGGCCTCCGACGGCGGCGCGGTGGCCGGCCCGGGGCTGAGAGCGAGGCAACGGGCGGCATCGTCCCGCCCGTTGGCTTGGGGCGTGACGTGGCGTTGGCCGGCGCAATCCATCGCGTTGCCTCTCCATTACGCACCATTCGCTTGCCATTGGCTTCCATTGCGGCATCGCCTCCAGTGTACGGCCTTCGCACCACGCCATGCGCGTCGCTGCTGTCTACCGAACACGAGCTGTCAGAACTGAACTGCAGTCCGGATCGAGAACAAACAACACGCCAGCGCGGTTCGCCGAAACTCCGCGCCGCTCCGCTCGTCCCGTCCCAGCCCGGCCATCCGCAGCCGGGCTTCAGCGGCGGCGGCGGCGGCGGCGGCGGCGCTCCCCACGTGCGGCCCCATCGATTGGGCGGCTGGTGAGGCCGCCGCCGCCGCTGTTCCTCCCGGGCCTGCCGCACAGCTGGGCGGCCAGCTGGCGCCGGTGGCCGGGCTGAGCAGCGGCCGCCGCCGCCACCACCGCCGCCGGCAGCTGAGCTGGCCGGCGGGGCAGCGGTAGGTAGCCGGCTGGCCAGGCCGCGAAATGTCGACCAGATGTTTGACGATGGGTTAAGGCATTGCGACGTCATGTGTATGTATCTACGCGTACGAATGTAACGTATGTCATTATAAGGTAACTGTCGGGTCAGCTCTCAGTCATCGTACGGTATATGGCCCGTATACTGCCGCCAGGTTACGCACTGTGTACCTGTTGCCTTGCTTGTTTGATCAGCGTAATTGCACCGCCGTCCGCTCCACGTCATCGGTTTGCCATCGCCACGCCTGTGGAGCAGCGATTGCGTCGCTCCGGGCCTGCCGGCGGCGGCGCGGGCGCGGCTCTAACCATCGCCCCAGTGGTGTCGATTGCCGGATGTGCTGGCGGACCGGGCGCGGCGGATGCCTTCCGTTTCCGGGCCGGTATGGTCGGCGCGCCGTCGCAGTCGATGCGTAATGCGTCTGTGTCGCGGTGTAGGTGAGGATTTGGCGACTGCAGGCTCGGTACGCTGCCGACAAGCTTTTTGTGGGACAGTCCTGCTTTTATTAGTTCATCATACCGCTCCGCGGTGGTAACTGGATGCTCCGCCGCGTCCTGTATCTTTTTTGGGCTCAGCTGCCTGCTCCCCTGCATATCGAAGCGTCCCAGATTGGTCCTACCTGGAAAACCCGCGCCGTCGACGCCGCGCGAGACGCCTCGTGCGCCACACTTCCCGGCGCCGTCCGCCGCGCCTGCGGGCGAGGTCAGCGGGTCAGCCCGGCGGCCCGTCTGTTGCCCGTCGGCGCCGTCAGACGCGTCCGACGCAAGCGTACCTGACAGCCGCGTCGCGCGCCGCTCCAGCGGCGGACAATAGGATGTCGAATGGGAACATCATTGCGACGGGGGACGGACCTTTTTTGCCGGCGGGGCCATCGCGCCCGCTGCGCTGAACGGCGCGGGCGCTGATCAGTCGCCGGCACGCGTCGGCCTGATTGAAACGGCGCGTCGCGGCGCAGTGATTGCTGTCGTTTCCGCTGGCGGCAGATGGCTGACGCCCGTCGGAGCGCGGCGTAGGACCGCCTACGCCGGCGCCGCTCGCGCTGGTCGTGCTGACGTCGGCCGGCCGGCGCAGCGTGCGCGATCGCGTCGTTCGCCATGCAGGCCGATGGGCAGTCACGGCCGGCGGCGGGGGCTCCCCGCCGGTGCGGCTCGGTCGCGGGGGAGGTGCCGTGCTGTCCCGGCTGAGAGCCGGTGGGGGGCGACGCGCCAGCCCGCCGCGCCGCGCGCCGCTGAACCGTGACGGATTCCGGGCCCGCGCTGCCATCTATCGACGGCGTGACGAACCACGTGCCGCGAGCCCGGCGGGGTCAGCGCGGGAGACTCGCTCGGTCGCTGGTCTTCGGTTTGGCCGTCGTCAGTCCTTGTCGGTCAGCCCTCACGCCGCCGACGGCTTGCAGGTGCCGCATGACCCCGCAGTATTCGCTGAGGGTCTCTCGGATGGTGTCCCGAGTGGTGGGCTTTGACGCGCGCCGGCCGCCGGCTCCGATGATGCTCCGGCGGCGAGGCCTGAACGATCCGTCTGACCACTGGATGCTGAGCTGGCGTCGCATCGGCTGGCCTGGGTTTGAATTGGCACGCCGGCGAGGTGGAACGTAGGTCCCGTCCGCCGCGTCCGCCGCTGTCCCGACAGCCTCCAAGTCGACGATCCCACGGAGCGTGTGCCTCGGCTCCGGCGTCCGTCCAGTAGAGTCGTCCCGGACAGGAAGGTGGCGCACCGTGCCGCCGTCCCGGCCGTCGTTCGGGGCGTATTTTCCGCGCACAGGAGGGTCGCCGCCGGCCGGGCCGTCCATCTCCCGAGCGATGGTATTGTGACACGGCCGGGGCCGGCGGGGCGCGGTGGGCACGTCAGCGTGGCGGGGTCTGGCGCGGCGCCGCTGTCGGCGCCCGTCGCAGCGAGCGCGCTCGAGCGACGCCGGGGACGGCGCGCAGTGACGCGGAGCTCACCGGCCGCCGCAGGGAGCGGGCCGGCCTGCGGGCGTAGGCGGCCGGCCGACTCCGGCTTCAGCTGGGTCCGCGGGCCGCCGAGCACCGTCGGTCGCCGTCCGCCGCGCCGGCGGCGGCTGCGAGCGCCGCCGGAACGCGAGAAGCTGACGCCAGTGAGCTAATGAGCAGCTGGCGCCCGTAATGACGATCAGCCGACTCTCCGGACGTGATTATGACGCGGCGCACGCACGGCGAGTCATTACGGTGATGGGGAGGGGCGAGATCACGTGGGCGATGAGTGACCGCCGCCGTCCGTTTTCCAGGAAAGAAGTACGACGGACCGGAGGTGGACGTGTGGTCGCTGGGTGTCATCCTCTACACGCTGGTGAGCGGCTCGCTGCCGTTCGACGGCTCCAACCTCAAGGACCTGCGGGAGCGCGTGCTGCGCGGCAAGTACCGCATCCCCTTCTACATGTCGACCGACTGCGAGAACCTGCTGCGCAAGTTCCTCGTGCTCAACCCGACCAAGCGCGCCAGTTTGGAGGTGAGGCGCGGCCGGGCGGCGGGCGCGCGTCGCGTGGGGAGGGGTTCTCCACGAGTCGGTGTGAGCGCCGCGACGCCTCCGTATCGCCAGAGCTCGGCAGTGACTCGCGACGTCTCATGTCCGTTATAATGAAGATGACCTAAGAACTCGAATGCGATGCGATTACACCCCGCGCCCATTATAACAGGCTCGTCAATGTGCGCAGTTTTGCTAGACCCGTTTTTCTTGGTGAGGGTCATTATTGCTTCCTGCTGACGTCAGGACATTCGCGCTCGGCGAGCCAACGACACCCGACCCGCGCTCGTCACGCCGAGCACAGAGGCCGTGCCGGACACGCCCCGCTCTCGGCGGCGCGTCATTGGTGGGCTGGCTCGCGCTGTGGCTGTTATTGGACGCCGCCGGGGCGCTGCTGATCGCGCTCGGTAAATCATAGCCGCTCGGCGGCCGTGCCACGGGATTTCACGGCCAGCTGTGTCGACGCCAGCTCGCGCTCACTGATACGGGGCCTCCGGCGGGGCCGGGCGTCTCGGACGGCGCGTGTCTGCCGGCGGCGGGGCGCGGTGGGAGGGCGCGGGGTCAGGCGTCACGTGGCGGCACGGGACCGCCGGTAGTGCGCGCGGCGCTCGTTGTTTGCTGAGAAAGAAGCGTCGATGCTGTCACAGTCGTGTTAACCATCAGTGATGTAACTAACGACCTGTAGTCATTGAATGGGGGTCGCCGCCGGCCGCTGTTCGTTCGAAGCGTCCATACAACGACCCATCAGTGCACGCAGCTGATTGTTGAACTCCCCCAACGCCGTCACCACCTTTCCGCTGCCGTGGAGCGTCTACCGTAGGCGCGCGCCCGGCGCCGGGCGCGTGCCCCGTGCCGCCGTGGTGCCGACCAGTCCGCCGGCGTAGGCGGGTCGCGCCGCCTGATGTACGACCCGGGCGGCGGCACGGCTGACGGGCCGGAACGGCACAACTTCGGGACATAATCGTCCGGGCTCGGCCGGATGCCGCGCTGGGAGCGGAAAACAATGCGGCGCACGTGCTGCCGGCGCTCGCCAAGTTTGCGGATGTTGGATGGCGGTGTTTGTGCGAGCGCCCGCGGCTGGGCTCGCGGTGCTTGGCAACCCCAGTTGGCCGCGATGGTGGCGCCTCATTTGTATGATGGTGCTCTGTGCTTGAGGGTGTATGCCCTGTGGATGGGGACGGCCCTCAGAACTGGAAATGACTGAGGTGGATTTATTAAAGCTCTCTGGGCCGCCCGATGGAGCTTCAGCTCCGGCCGTCGCAAAGCCCTTGATGTCCCCCGTCATCTGAAAGCGCCTCCCATTTGAGCTCACTTACGAGGAGAACCGGCAGTCTCAAAGGGTCCACTGCTCATTAAATGCATGCATGTGTCGCCGGTGGAGTCTGCTGACGTCAGCGGCGGCGGCGCGAGCGAGCTCGGCACGCGATTGGCGGGCCCCGATGGCCGACGGTTCGTGCCGGACGGGCCGCTCTTCACGGCCACCTGAACTAGCAAGACGGTGAATGGGGAGCCCGAGGGAGAGGTGGAGATGGTGAATGAAAATGAATAAGTGAAATAGTGTGAGGAATGAAATGAAATTAAGGAACGAGCCGTCCCAGCCGGTCAAGAGTATCAGAGAACAATTAAGTGCGTGGGAAGAGAGGAGTTCCAAGTAGAGGAGCGTCACTGTGTTCATCTCGAGAAGTCATTAATGAGTTTCCTGTACGCCATTTCCTTTATAATCGAATTACGAAAGAACATTATTTGTTGAGTAGAGACAGTATCTTCACCTCCGGAAACTATTACTGATGTCCTGGCACGCCAAGTCTTGGACGATATGTGATCATGTATGTAGCCGATGGTTCACAGCCCCGCCGTCGTGATGACGCCATGTCGCGCTGGCTGATGGTGACCGCTGCTGGCCGACCTCGGCCGCGTGCCGACCTCTCGCCGACCCGCTGCCTCCGCCGACGGTGACCGAGACGCTGACCCAGCGCTGTCTCGCCCAGCAGGCCATCATGCGGGACAAGTGGATGAACTCGGGCTGCAACGAGGACGAGCTGAAGCCGTACGTGGAGCCGGACCCGTGCATGGACGACCCGCGTCGGATAGAGCAGCTGGTGGCGCTGGGCCACGCGCGCGCCGACATCGACGAAAGCCTCCGGCTCTGCAAGTTCGACGACATCTACGCCACCTACCTGCTGATGAACCGGCGAGCGACTGACGTGAGTGTGCAGCGCGGCGCGGCGAGGAGAGACTGTCCGAGCGGGGTGGCGGTGGTCCGCGCGCCCTGCGGGTCTGGACGGGTCCATGGTGGGGTTCGTGGGGAAAGGGATGTGGCGACAGGAGCTGTCGGAGTCAGTCGGCCTGTGTCCCGCACTCCGTGTACAGTCAACGTTCGCCGTGAGGACGCGGTGGCGGGGTTTGTGTACCGCGCGTCTGGCGCCGCAAAACCACGGCTGGCCATGGCGTGTTTGTCCTCCCGCAGTGACTGTTTGCTTGCCACTGACATTGACGATCGAGCGTGTCAACACCGAGACAAACGGGCGCAAGGCCGGCGGCGTACCGGGGCGCCTCCTCGGCGCGTGCCGGCGACTGACGTGCGCGCCCGGCCGCCGGCAGCTGGAGAGCGACGGCTCGCAGTCGGGCTCGTCGCTGTCGCTGCGGCACCTGGGGCCGGGCACGCCGGCACCGCAGCCCACCAGCCTGCAGTCGCCGCCCCACTCCAAGGTGCACCGCTCCATCTCGGCCACCACCAACAGCAAGCCGAATCGGCGCGCCTCGTCCGGTGAGAGGCGCGGCGGCCGCGCGCGCATGCGCGGACGGCCCGGCCGCTCGGGTGGGATCGCGGTGGGTGGGACGCGGAGGTGAGCGCGTGGGGTGGCCGTGATGTGGAGACCTGGCGTTTACAACAGGTGGTGGTTGGTTTTACTAGTTGGGCCGATGGACTGGTACTAGTCGCCGTTTCAGCGCGTCAGTGTCGTCACCGTCGAGGTCGCCGCGCGTCTCACCTCCGAAGTCGGCGCTTGTTCGCAAGATATTCTTTTCAATGCTTGTGTGTATGTGAAGATGTGGCGGGGTGGCGCGGTCGCTTCACCCTCCGCGTGTGACCCTGCCGTGGTTCGCCCGAGCCATGGGACAGTGGGTGAGCTTCCGTGACCCCGGCCGACAGGCGTGAATGCGTCGTCCTCCGCGCACCCGGCGCCCGCCAACCACACGCACTTCAAGCGCCAGAACACGGTCGACTCGGCGACGATCAAGGAGAACACGGCGCGGTTGAGCGCGGCGGCCGCCGCCAGCCGCGCCGCCGCCGCCGCCGCCGCCACGACGCCATCGCCGGCGGGCGGCGCCGGCGCCGCTGGCGAGGCGGCCGAGCCGGCCAGCACGCCGGTGCCGCCGCCGGCCAAGCCGCGCGTGCCCAAGGCCAGCTCGGCGGCGGCGCGCACCATCGGACCGTCCGGACTGCGCCGCTCGACGCACTCGTACGACGCCAAGGTGGCCGCGGCGGCCGTGGCCGGCGCCGAGGGCAAGACGCACGGGGCCGACGTCAAGGACGTGACCAGGTGAGGGAAGGAGGCGGAGCGTGCGGGGTGGGGAGGCGGCGGTGGCGTGGGTCTCTGGCGCGCACGTGGTTGGAGGTGCGGTTCGGTGGGTGTGGCGCAGCTGCTGTCGGTCTCTGCTGCTGCCGGGACGTGTGGCGTGTTGTGCGGCGGACGCAGCGGTGCTGTGCTCGGGTGCCCCGCGGGGCCAGTCTCGCTGCACGCAGCTCGGCTGAGGTGTCCCCACGGTCGCGAGGCGGTCCAGCGCTAACAGCCCTGGGAGGCCGCGGTTTGCGGTCGTTCCTGCAGCACTGGGGCGGCCATGCGCCGCCTGTCGTGAATAATCTGTTTTGTGGATAGTGGGTGTGCCCTGTGCGGTAGAACGTGTCCTGGTTCCAGCGGGCCGGCTGCTTGTTCGCCGCGCGAAGTCCGCTGGACAACGCTCTGGGTCCTCTGTGCCCAAGCGCAGCGCGGCGGTCGCGTTGTTGCTGCCTTTGCGTCTGCGCGGCATGTGCTGCGCGGGCGCGGTACTAATCCCTCCCCAGCTGTAGCGCTGAGCGCAGCGTATGGTGACTGTCGCTGGCGCGGTACTAACGGACGGGGCGGGCACGCAGCGTCGCGCCCGCGGCCGCCGGCGACGCGGCCGTTGTCGAGCGGGCGCGCCCGGCCAAGGGCCACATCAAGTCGTCGTCGGTGTCGTCCAGCGGCGGCCTGGAGCAGCCGGCGGCGCCGCAGCCGGCCGCCCGACCCACCTCCGAGCTGCGGTCCAGGTACCTTGGCTCCGCCCCGCACCCGTCCCGCTCCGCCTGCCGCCTGCCGCCTGACGCCTGACGCCTGACGCCCGGCGCCGGGCCGGCTGCCTGTGGCCTCTCCCGCTCTGGTCCGGCGGCGCTGCCGGGTGCTCCTCTCGTGCTGCCCGGTCTCCGGAGCGGTCGACGCTCTGCAGCTGTGTTGCCGTGTTCCACGCCAGGCTCGCCTCGCCGCTTCTTATCCCGCGTTTTTGTCGGGGAGCTCGTCCCGGAGCCGGTGTTTTTTCCTCGCTGCGGATGCGGCGGATCCTCGGCGGTCACGAGCCCGCCGCCCGTCCCCCCCCCCCCTCTCCCGTCCGCGTACAGCCCGTCACGCTGCTCTCGCCTCCGGCCCGGCGGCCAGCCCGGCCGGCCGTCGCTCGGCCGCGGCCGCTTGTCGTGTGCTGCCTGCTGCGCCGCTCGGCCGAGCGCTGCTTGTGGCGATGTGACGCTGCGTGACACCGTGTTTGTACGCCGGGCCTGGCCCGCCCGCCGCCGGTGCCACTGTGGTTGGGCTCCTCGGCCTCGGCCTCGCCGAGCACCATTGCAATGGTGACGGCGGCCTCGCCGATGATTGGTCCAATCGGTGTCGGCGTCGATGGCGGAGGCGCCGGCCGGTGAGGCGCGCCGCCGTCACGGGCTGGCCGTCGCCTGGTGCGGCCGGATGTGGAGGGTGAGACACGCACGTCCCCCCCCCCCTCCCGCCCCCTCCCCCGCCCCATTGGGGGGCCGTGCTCACGCAGCTGCGCATGCGCAGTGAAAGCCGTTCTCTGACATCATGTGGTCGCGATCATCCTCCCAGTGCCTTGCAATGGTCCTGAAGGACCAGTTCGAGCGCTGTCACGGGAACAATTTTCGGTTGTTCGTCTTGGCTGGGTTAACGTGCCCTGATCTCCCTACTTCGATGGCGCCGCCGTTTCCAACGTGTATCATGTTGGCTTTTGCGCCGTGAACCCTACGACCTGGGCTTACCATGATCTGACATCGTTCTCACCCAGCTGCAGCTAATCCCTGAGAGTCACCAGTCAAGGCTTCGGCGCCCTCGGCTGCCCCACACAGGGCGGATCCCCAGGGAGCCCCCCGAGGGTCCCTCTGTCGGTCAGCCATGCCGCCGCCGATCGGCGTGGCTTGGCCGGGATGTCTGGGGCACGGGACCGCGCTCGGACGGGCTCCCCACGGCGCGTGCGAGCTGTGCGTCGCCGCTCTGTGTGCCGATTGCGCCGGCCACGCGCCGATCTGCCGCGATCTGGTCTGACGTGAGACGCCGCCGTCGGCGAGACGCTGCGATGGCTTGGATGGGCGATTGTATGTGTAAGCATGCTTTGATCTGTGTTGTGTTTGGCCGATGTCGTGCTGCCGCCCGCGATCAGCATGCGGTGTTTGACGCGGCTTGGGACGCGCTGTATTGTTGCGTATTTGTGTTGCGGTGTGATGTGTATTTCTGTTGCTGATGAATGACGCTGCTCGGTGTTCTGGCACGCCCGGGCCTCGCCGGCCCGGCTCGCGCATACCGGTCGGCAGGCTCGGTGAAGTTTGTGGATCGGCTATTTCGAGTCGCCCTCAGGCGCGTGGCTGGTGACTTGATCGGTTCCCGGGAAGCCCACGCCTCGCCAAGGTGGCGCGTGCGCCCCACTTTGGCATTCACGTATGCGCATTGCGAGGTGGTCTTGCCTCCCACGCGCATCCGTGTGGTGTGGTGGGGCCCGCTTCCGCGTGCTGGTCTGATTCACGGGGAGCTGGGCGCTTCTGGCAGCTCTGGCGAACTCAGCTAATCGCCCTTCTCCCCTGTGTCGCTGAGACGGTCCAGCCTACGCCCTCCCCCCCCCCCCCCCCCCCCCGCTATTGGAGGTTGTCCCTCGCTATACTCATGTCAGCGTTGTTGCTGGTAGACCTGTGATTCCTACTTGCGAGCAGCTCCTTCCAGCCGGCGTTGACTGAGCCCAGGGCCGACGCCGGCGCCGTGTGGAGCAGTGCGCGCCGCCGGCCTCCCGTCCCCCGCCTGACGTCCGTCCGTGCTGTTGCAGCGGCGCCGGCCGGCCGGGCGCGCCTCTGTCGCCGCGCGCCGCCGGCCGCAGCGCGCCCTTCACGCGCAACATCGTGAGTCGCTCGACGTTCCACTCGGGCCAGACGCGCGCCGCCGGCCACCGGCCGGCCGGGGTCAGCCCGCACCACGACACCAACCGCACCTCGTTCTTCTCCAAGCTCTCGTCCAAGTTCGCCAAGCGGTACGTGCAGGAGGGCGGGCGGGGAGTTCGGGCGGAGATCTGTTCGGCTTTGATCGGGAGTGCGCGCCCTCGTGGTCGGATTGGGGTTGTGCTTTGAATGGAGCAGTGGTTCGTTTGCCGTCGTTTTCGCGGTGGGGATGATAGGAATCGGGAATTGCATCACGGGATCACAGGGATCACGGTGATGGATGACAGATCGGATCCACCGCCGACTCGCGTTGTCCTCGACGCCAACGAAACCGGGGATTGTCGCACCACCTCCGCGCAGTGTGGCTTCTGTTGGCGAACCGCTTTAATTACCTCGCCCGCTCGTTAGCTATTGCGCCAGCGACGGTCGGATTCGGGCCAGAGACGTGACGCTGCTGCTAATTGGTCGGCCTGGGGACAGCAGAACGGGGCGCTTCAAGCACGGCCGAGGCGTTGGGATGAATCAAAATTGGACTCTCAGGCATCGTGTCCTGTGACCGGGGCCGGCGGACGCTGCTGGGTGTGTTCGGAGTTCGCGCCGGGAATGTGTTTGAAGCATACCGAGCTGGTACCGACCGGAGCGCCTTTCGGTAAAGGAGAGTGGGTAGTCCGGGCTCGTGTGGCATCTGTGGAGCCCGCTCACTGGACTGACAGCGATGGACCATTGCGGTGGTGACGGCGGTACTGACACTTTCTCGATGCGAGCCAACGCCGCCGGCATGCAGGGGCGATGACTGGCCGAGTTGTGAGCGGGTTATATTTAAATGGGATTTCTGATCTGCAGGCTGTTCTATCCGTATGTCATACCCTGTTGTTCTCGACACTCTACAGGAACGTTTGGCCGCTGCTGTTTGTTGATGAGTTTGAGATCCAGTTTATTTATCCTTTGACATCGGTTGTCCCTATCAGTGGTTCCTTCTGAAATATCGCCAATTTTGTTCCTTTGGGTTTTAGTTCGTAAACTAATTGTCAGTATGTTTTTGCTAACGCCTTCATCAACAGCAACCCACTAAATCGGCAGGCACACTTGAGCGCAACTAGGCACCAGTCGTCATTGTTCTGGCCGCTCAAAACCTCGACATTTGCTCGAAAGACGGATTTAACCGTACCGGCTATCTTCATTCCGCGCCGTGATCCTCATATCCGGTCATGAATGTGCAAAGCGCCTTTGTCGTGGGCGTCTCTAGATCGGCCCTCTCACAAATGCACGAACCCATCTGTGGGCGCTTCTGCACCGCGCCTCATGCCCAGCGTGTTCGAACTCTAGCGGCTCAGCTCGTTTAGCGTCCACTCCTGCCCAGCCGTTTAACGTCCGCTATTGTCCAGTCCGTCTAGCGTCCACTCCTGCCCAGCCGTTTAACGTCCACCCTTGTCCAGCCCGTCTAGCGTCCACTGCTGCCCAGGCCGTTTAACGTCCACCCTTGTCCAGCCCGTCTAGTGTACACTCCTGCCCAGCCGTTTAACGTCCGCTCTTGTCCAGCTCGTCCAGCGTCCACCCCTGCCCAGCCTGTTCAGAAGAGGGGCCGCCTCCGCGTACCTTGCACCTCGCTCTCGTCACCGCGCGTTGTGCCCCAGCCGGTGTCTGCCGGATAGCCAGTTACCGCCGCCGGCGCCTCTTCCGGCGCCGGCGTCGGCCCTGATTGGTCGGCTCGCCGGGGCCGGCATGACGCGGTCGCGGCGAGCCGAACTGGGACGGCGTGACCACAGAACGGCATCCTCGGCGGCTAATGGCGCTCCTGCGAGCGGACGCGAGCACTGCGGGGCGTTAGCGGACGGCAGTGGGCGTGGGCGGGCAAAACAACGCCCGCTGGCGGCAGTGGGCGTAAAAGCTTTTAGCGTAACCTCCGAATATAATAATGTTACAAAAAAAATAGGAGTGGGGTTTGCATACGTTCGTGTTCTCATGACTAGAAAAAGGAGATGAAGGAGGGATTTCGTGTGAGATTATTAACACAAAATAGAGCTCTTTGAGAGACTCGGGGTCTAATCTCGTGTTTACGCTGTCCTGGGGATCGCTCCTTCGTCTCCCCCGCGGCCTGTGTGATGGCCGGCAGCCGACTGGTGCCGCTGGATGGTATGGACGGCGACGAGCGGCACGGTGTGGCCTGTCGGCCGGCGAGCGGCTGACGCGCGGCGGACTCGTCGGCGCACCGCCCGCCTGGCCCGGCATCACCGCCTGTTTTTTTCAGCTTGGCTAACGGCTTCGTCTCTGTCTCATCCAGGGGCTGTGGCACTGCGTGTACTGACCACCTGTCTCTCTTTCTTTCTGCCCACCTCTAGACCGGGAGACGTTACCATGCCCACCCCTACCAGGCCGACCACTGACCGGTACGTGACTCGCCGTCTGCCTGTCTGTCCGTCTGTCTGTCTGTCGGGCTGTCTGTCTGTTCGCCTGTCTGCCTGCCCGTCCCGGCCGTCTGCCCGCCTGTCTCGGCTGTCCCTCCGACGGTTCGTTTGCGGCTCGGCGGGCGCCTCGCTCCCCGTTGCGTCCGCTTCGCCGGCGCCGGTGTCGGCCGTTCATCGCTCCAGCCGCCAGCCGGCTCGCCGCGCGGGGTACTCTGGACCGCCGCCGCGGCCGCCGACCCTGCCGCCAGCGACGGCTTGCATGAGCGGGTCTCGCGCCGCCGTCGCCGCTGAGTCGCCGCGACACGCTCCGCTGTCGTCTGTGCCCGCTCGAAGTGGCACTCGCTCGCGCTCCACCCAGCGGGAAACATCGCGTGGACGGCTGCTCGGCGGTGCGCTGGAAACAGCGGTCAGCCGCGCAGCCGATGTGTTGGGCCAGCGCGGCTGGAACGGAGAAAACAGCCAGCAAACAGCCCCTGACCCCCCCCCCCCCCCTCCCACACACACACCTCCCGTCTCAGTCGGTCAGCATGGCTGTGTCGATCCGAAGCCAGCAGCGAGTCGCCGCTTCAGTATGCGTGCGGTTGAACGCCAACGCCAGCCTGATATGCTTGAAACCGGTTGTTGTTGTTTTTTCTCTCGCCGATGCCACGAGCGCGCAATGCGTCAAAATTCGGCAGCAGTGAAACCCATCACCGAGTGCGCGGATGCCAATCTGATATTGATGGCGGCTTTCTGGGGTGAGGGGGGCGGGCACGGGGTGGCACACAATGGGCATCACTCTCAGCGGGTTCGGCTCCGGCTCCGCCGGGCGCCGCCGTTGCGTGCCGGCTCGAGCGACCGCGTGCGCCGCCGCCTTTGATGTGGCGGCCGCGGCTGCCCGTCGCGCCCGCGCCGGCTTTGGCCGCCCGCCGGCCGTCGGTCATCACGTGTCGCCCGCGTATTGATCCCGTTCCCGTCGAGCTCTATCAAATCGGGTTTTGAGCGGCGCGAGGTGCTATCGTGTGATCGGCCGGCGGCGCCGCTCGCCGCCCGCCGCTCCCGGATGGCGGCTGAGCGCCGCCGCAGGACGGCCCGCGGATCGGCCGCCGCGGTAAGCCGGTGCGGCGAGGCCACCGCGCCAAATTGATTGTGGCGCTCCGGCTTACGCGGCCCTGGAGCCGGAATCAATGGGCCGGTCCAGGTCTGCGGCGGCCCGTTATTGTAACGAATGGGCGACGCCGCTGGCGGGCGGCGTCGCAGCTCGAGCGGTCGGGTCCTGACGCAGTGCTGGCGAGGGTGGGAGGTGACGGGCGCGCCCCCGACGCTACCCGCCGACCACGCGACGTGCACCAGCTGCCAGTGATGTCCGCAGGCGTCGTATGCAGACACGACTTTACGTATGCACGCCAGAGGGGCTTGCCGCCCACCCGGAAGTGAAGCCTGCCCGCTGTCCTGGAAGTGAAGCCCCGGCGCCGCGCTCTGAATGTGGGAACCGCGGGCCGGCGCGTCGTCTCGGGATCGCGGCCGCGCCTCCGCCTGGCTGCGGACCGCCGGCCCGATCCGGGTCCGGGGGTCGCTGGGCGGCAGCAGGGCCGACGCGCACCCCAGCCAGCACGGCTGCACCTGAGGAGATCAGGGACGGACATTCTGAATGAAAGCCCAGCGTTCGGAAATCTGGCGGATGGTTCTCTTTTAAGTTGTGCCGATGTGGTGGGGCTCATTGTAATATTACTTTTTCATTTCCTCACTACTCTAAGTTTTAAAGGACTTTCACCGGTGTCTCTCATTTCGTTTCGAATTATGACTTCGCGAGCGTTAAGTTCCACAGGAGCCTTTGGCACTTCAGATCGACGACGATGGGCTCTTGAGAGCCGCGGCCGGTCTCATACGGCACCCATAACACTCGAGCTCCAGCCAGGGGCGACCGAGGTCTTGATTGCACGTGAATCGTTGAAACTCGAACTGCGGCCATCATCGCAGATGTCACTGGATTGAACACGTATGAAATGTAATTCGGATAATGCGAAACAGATTTTGGAAAATACGCGTCCTGACCTGACTGCCCGTTCGACCATTCTCTGCGCCCCTCCCCCCCCCCTCCCCTAAACCGGTCATCGCCTAAGGTAGGGGGTTGTTGTTCAGATCTTTAATTTTACGGTGAACAGGCGTTATGGCCGAGTGGTTAGTCCTTCGGTTCCCACGTGAGAGAGAGGGGGGGGGGGGGGCGGGTTCGTACCTCGGTTGCGCGATGGCCACGGAGTACTAATGTAGCCTCTGCAGTCGGTTGTGCTCCACAGGAGGCTGGGCGACGACGTGCGCCGCATTCTCGTCTATAACAAAACTATTAAAAACAGGCTTGCCCAGAAAGCCATCAGTCAAAGGCTAAGCTGTAACTTATCCGGTTCCTAAAAACATCTCGTGTTTCCCACCCCAACGGAAAGACCTTTCGACGCCAGAAGTCAGCGGAAATACAAAAAGCATATTGCCTGACTAGCTGGAACGCTTTGTTTCCGTTGAGCCGACGTGTGTGCCGTGCGTCCTGGCGTTCTCAAGCCGTGATTGCTGCCGCCGTTGCCGCCGCCATCCATCTCGCATTCAGTTCTCCGTGACAAGTTCCTGCGGCCGCCGCCGCGTGGATGTTGCATTGTTAGCACGCCGGTGGGCCTTACCACAGATGAACCCTCCTTTATCCGGGATTCGGCGCGCGGACGATGAGGTAGAATATCGGGTGTCTTGACGAATGGTCCGGGACGTCCGCGCCGGGGCGGGGCGAGATGTCCGAGATGTGTGGGCGAGATGCCTGACGGATGCCGAGTGTTGGCGTGACAGACCCGGCCTGGAGGAACTCTGGCACCCGATTCAGACGGCCTCTGGTGGTAAGCGTGCTGATGTGCGTGAGCGGCACTCCTGGTTGCAAGGCTGGGGTGGGTCGTCTCCCTCGTGCCGGCGTTGTGTTCGCTGGCGTCGGGCGTCGTCGGCCGCCACCGTCTGTCTGATCACGCTTCTGCTCACCGCCAGGCACGGAGCGGACTCGCCAGTGCCGACCCCGACCCGGCCGGCTGTTGACCGGTACGTGTGGCCCGTGCGGCCGCTCTCACTCCTCCGCCGCCGCCGGCCCGGCCGACGGCCGACGGCCTGCGGGAATGCCGCGCCGCTGCGGTGCCGCGCTGTCCAGGCGGGTCTGGCAGCCCGGGACAGCCCGGCTGCCGTCGAGCCTGTCGCGGCGATCCGTGCCAGCTGTTGTCGGGGCGCGCGTCGGCTGTATGATGGCGCGCCGGTATGAACCGATGACGTGCTGAGAGTTGTTCTGTGAGCCGCGCGGACCGATGACGTCGGTGCTGATGACGCCACTGACATGCCGCAGGCCGGTGATGACGACGCCGATGACGGCCAGCAACGGCGAGCCGGAGCCGGTGAAGCCGCGCAGTCTGCGCTTCACCTGGAGCATGAAGACCACCTCGTCGCGCGACCCGCAGGAGATCATGGACGAGATCAGGAAGGTAGGCTGGCGTGGCGCCGTGGTACGCGGGCAGTGCTCCGCCGGCGGCGGCTCGGCCTGCCCCCCCCCCCCCCCCCTAATCCTGTCTAGGCCTGTCACGCGAAGGCAGCCCGTCGGGAGGAATAGTTTCGTGCAGTGAACTAAGGAACCCACGCACTTTCCGTGATTCACGCCGTGTAAACATGCATGTTGTCAGCGGATCAGTCTCGACCACCTGTTCAGTGGGAGTGGATTGCAAACATACCGACCGTGTCGGGTCGGTATGTTTGCTCGGTGCGGTATGCTTGGGCACGGGTTTGTAGTTTATGTTCTACGATTAGCTCGTGGCCGTTGCTGTTTGCCCGTGACCCGTGCGTACCTCCGCATTCTGGGCTTCGGCGCTCCCCGCGTACGCTCCCTCTGCCGTCGGCGGCGATGCGTGGTGCCTGCGTCCTTCTCTGTTGTCGCTCGTCTCGACGCGGCACTCGTTCACGTAACACTCCGGTAACCCACCCGCTGGCTGATGTAGCTCCTGTGCAGACGTCTCTCCGTCTGTGTCTCTCTGTCTCTCTCTCTCTCTCTGTCTCTCTAACTGTCCGTCTCCCGGCTGCGTGGCTCGGCTTGCTGGCGGCGCGCCTCTGTCTGTCCGCCCTGGCACCCGGCCGTCTGCGGCGTCCCCTGGCTTCGGCCTGTCTCGGCGGCGGCGGCGGCGGCGCGCGACAGTGTCTCGCCGTCTGGCACGCCTTTCTCTCTTCCCCAGCTCCAAAGCGAGAGACAGGCAAAGCGTGTGGAGCGGACCGGTCGGCCGCCAGGCAAGTGTTGCGTGCCGGGGTACACGGGTGGCCTGATCTCGCCTGACCTCACCCGACCTCTCCTGACCTCACCTTCCCTCACCGGGTGACCCGGCTGGGTTTGTCTGGCATGCGCTGGCTGGGGCGGCGGCGACGGGCGCTCGATGGCCGCCGCGCTGGGTGCAGGGTAGCCGCGTGCCGCGCGCAGCGCACGCCGCCGACCGGCGCCTGACCCCGCGTCGTGCCGCCAGGTGCTGGACGCCAACAGCTGTGACTACGACCAGCGCGAGAAGTTCCTGCTGCTGTGCGTGCACGGCGATCCGCGCACCGACTCGCTCGTCCAGTGGGAGATCGAGGTGTGCAAGCTGCCCCGCCTCTCGCTCAACGGCGTGCGCTTCAAGCGCATCTCGGGCACCTCCATCGGCTTCAAGAACATCGCCAGCAAGGTGGCCAACGAGCTGAAGCTGTGACCCGTGGAGGCGCCGCCGCCGCCGGAGCCGGGCCGGCCGGCGACGGCGACGGCGGCGCGCTGCTCGTGTCGGCCGGTGCCGCCGCCGCCGCGACGCCGCCACGCCCACTGAGCGCCGCGTCCCGCCCGTTGTTTTCCTTTTATATAATTGTTACGTCTATGTGGCGGCCGGCGGGCGGACGGACGGGCGGCCGGCGAGCGGACGCCGGCGGGCGTCTTCCGGGCGCGGCCCGCGGCCGCGGCTCAACTCCGGTGCAGCTACCTTCCGCGGGGCCGCGGGCGCGCCGCCCGCCGCACCGCGCCGCGTCGCGCCGCGGACAATCGGGGCTCGCGCAATCTGTGATCCGCTCCCCGCTGTGTGACGTGTCGTCCCCCCCCCCTCCTCCTCCCCCCCGAGGCGCGCGCGGGCGGGCGGCCCCCGCGTCGTGTCGTCGCTCTGTGGACCCGCGCGGCGCGGTTCGCGGACCGGGCCGAGATAATTCTAACATTTGTGGATGTATTTATTAGTATTACGTGCAACCATACCGCCGCCCGCCCCAGCAGCGCGCGCACGATTGTGCATTGATATCGGTTTATCATATTCATTCACCGACCGGCGTGCGCGAGGCGCCCGCCGTCCGCGCGGCGTCTGAGCGCTGTGTTTTTACGGTCAGGACCCGTGGAGGCATCGTTGCACAATGCTAGACGCTGTACATATGGGAGGGCGCGCGGCCGCTGCCGCGCGACCCGAGTGTGATACGCGATTGCCGAGAGAGAGAGAGAGGGGGAGAGAATGACGCGCTGTGCTGCAGAGAAGGAGCGCGCGGCGCGAGGCGAGGCGCCGACCGGGCGCGCCCGATTCCAGACTAAACCCGCCTAGTTACGTGCGAATTACCGACGCGGCGGCGCGACGGCCGACTGTGTTGGGTTTCTGTTATTTCTCTGTACAGAATGCTAATAGCTCTAAAATACATGTGATAAAAGGAGCCGCGGCCGACACTGTGGGGATCGGCGACGGAGCTGTGGGGACTGGCGAGAGGGGAGGGGATGCTGCCACCTGGGCGTGTTGGTGTACGCGTCAGCGTCGCGCACAACAAATTTTAAAAGCCCACTTGGACAGGCGGCGGCTGAGTACCTCGCCAACGCCTCTCGTGAAGGGAGACAAATGGCACTGCATCCAGCCAGGAGCTGGGCAGTCCCTGCCACCTGGTGCTGGGTTTAGTCCTGCGCCGTTTACAGGCAACGGTCATCAGCTTGAATAGCACAATCTATTAATATAATTAGTAATGAATAATACATGACTTTTAAGTTGATCTTTATTAATTGATATATCAGTCTCATGCAATCTGAAACACAATTGTGCCGTCGGTCTGAAATTAACGTCTGGAAGGCAGCAACACAATTTGACTGCATAGCAACGATTATGAACCACCGGCGTGTTCTATGTGCTGATGGTCATCGCGTAGGTGTAACCTGGTGGGTCAGATGTTGCGCACTTGCAGCGTTTTCTCAGCATCGGACTGCTTCATTGCAGCATCGCAGCTTCAGTATCTTATGACGAACGGGCGTGGCGGCGCATTGCGATGCCTTCCGTTCGTGAGCTGGCGCGCTCGCCGTACAGTAGCACCGCCGTGCCCACGGTCGGCACAGTCGCAGCGCGCCCAGCCGGCGCTCGTCCGTACGCCCCCGCGGGGGTGACGAGCCCGCCGGACACTCCGCCTCCCCTCGGCTGTCAGTCGAGCGTCGTCCAAGCCGGGAAGGTTCAGGGCGCGTCAGGAGCCGCGTCGACCTCGTCACGGCTCGGGACTCCACCGACGTCCTCGGGGACTGCGCTCCCGGACAAGCGCCCGGCGCGCTCCTGGTGCTCTTCTGTCATCGAGAGCTGGCGTGCACTGCTTGACATGGGGTAATGGTAGCCAGGGTAATCCCGCGTGCTTCCCAAGCGTGTTTTATCTACGGGTCACCGGCGAGCGGTTCCCGCCGGCTGACGTCAGGAGAGATGGCCGTCGGCTTACGGGGATCGTTAGCGCCGTTGTCTGGGACAAGGTCTCGCACGGCTGCTTTGAATGTTTGTTTTCTTATTGGTTGGCGGCGATTTTGTCAGCAGGGAAAGACGTGGGGCTTTGTACCGCAGCACGTACAAAACGACATAGCTTGACGCGACAAGATGTTGCTGTCTTGTATCATCGCTGCTGGTTCATCTTAGATCAGCTGTTACACTAACATCTATCAACAGGGCGCCAATCAGCAGTGGATGCGACTGGGAGACATGCGTAGTTCCAGTTGAGCTTGCCGTGCGCGCTCCCATTGTTCGCGCTGGCACGGGAAGCACTGACACTGTTCGTGCTGGGACGGGAGGTGGGAGGAGAAAGCATATCACGTGTGCTGAAGTAGCATGTGTTGAAAAGTATGACGCATGCAACAAAACTATGCCGCAGGCTTTATGTGCGGTTTACAGCCTAGGGCTATGGACGCGCGCCCGCCACGCTGAAGGGGAACGCCTGTGTGAACAGAGCTTACCACTGCAGTGACGCAGCGAGGGCACTCGCGACAAGAGGCGGCTCGTCCCTCGAGAGCGTGACCCCGACAGCCTCGTGACCCCGACCCCGTGACCTCGTGACCCTCGTGACCCCGACAGCGGCCGTCACGCCAAGCGACGGGTCTCGGCCGCGCCAGAGACGTCGACCAGCATTGTGGGTCAAGTATCAATGCTGGAGACTTCCGCCTTAGGCGCCCAGACACTGACTTCCAGGGATGGCCGGGTATCCTTCGTTGTACTCAAAGCACACTGCCAGTGCGGCGATGGCTCGGCATATATTGCGGACAAACGCAGAGCGAGGATGAACCTCAGACAAGCTGGCCGATCGCGTCACGCAGGCATGCCGTCACACCGCCACTGAAGGCACACGCGCCGTGCATTCATTATTGGGTGCGCTCACAATCATTTGGTGGATTCCACGAACTGTTAGGATTGTACGCAAGTAGCAACATTCGAGCACTAAAAATATCACAGTGCCTCATCCCAAAATATAAATTACTTAACAATCACAAACAAGGAGCACAAGCCACTTAACGGTGTACGAGTGTTTTAAAGCACAGAAAGTCAGCATAGTGATCGGTGCGGATGTCTTCCATAATTCATTTCCCTCTGGTACAAAAAAAAATCCAGTCACCAATCGCTGGATAACAAATTGCACGTGCACTAGGTGAGTTACAAGTGAAATAATAAATAACCTGTCAGTTACAACTTGCGACAAATCGAGGGGTGCAAGCGGATGGTCTGTGGGTGGCGATAATAAAGTTGCATGTGTGACGAAACGCCCCAAAAATATAAAGCTCAACACAGACCAGTTATACGTGCGATCACGAAAAACGCAGCTGTCATAACCGTGCTGCACATGGTTCAGGCAAGCCTAACAGACCATGCCCAGCTTAACAGCACACAATCCAGCCCAGAGACATGGCTCTATAGTCCACGCAGCCAACATCATGTGCTCTCCGTCTCCTCAATACTACCCTCAGGCGTCTCTCCCGCTGCCGGGTCCCTCCCCCTCACCCCGCACCAGCCATCGATCCTACTCCTCACGCCCCACACAGCATCCCCCCCCCCCCCCCCGCCTCCCCAAGGCGTCCGTTCATCTCATTCCTGACTGTCGGACTTGAGGCCAGAGCATCACAACTACCGGTCTTACTGTTCACGAGCCCCACAGACCCCCCCCCCCCCCTTCAGGCACCTGTCCACCTCACTCCTTACTGTCGGACTCGAAGCCAGCATCACAGCTATCGGTCTTACTACTCACGAGCCCCACAGACCCCCCCCCCCTTCAGGCACCTGTCCACCTCACTCCTGACTGTCGGACTCGAAGCTAGAGCATCAGCTATCGGTCTTACTGTTCACGAGCCCCACAGACCCCCCCCCCCTTCAGGCACCTGTCCACCCCACTCCTGACTGTCGGACTCGAAGCTAGAGCATCAGCTATCGGTCTTACTACTCACGAGCCCCACAGACCCCCCCCCCCTTCAGGCACCTGTCCACCTCACTCCTGACTGTCGGACTCGAAGCTAGAGCATCAGCTATCGGTCTTACTACTCACGAGCCCCACAGACCCCCCTCCAGGCGTCTGTCCACCTCACTCCTGACTGTCGGACTCGAAGCTAGAGCATCAGCTATCGGTCTTACTACTCACGAGCCCCACAGACCCCCCTCCAGGCGTCTGTCCACCTCACTCCTGACTGTCCGACTCGAAGCTCAGGCCCGGCTCGGCCGTCCGCTTCCGCGCCGATGGGTTGATGATGCTCCTGCCGGTCGGCCGCTTGGCCGGCGGCCGGTTTCTGACCCTGACCCGAGCCGACATTGGCTCGGCCCGGCGTGTCTCCGAGACAGCCGCGTCCGCCTGAACACGCAGAAACGACACTGTGTGAGGGGACACGCCGGCCACCAACACAGCGGCGCGGAGACAGGCGGCGGTGTGGTTCGCCACGGGGGAAGTCTGAATGAGTGCAACTACACTTCCAGTCGCACTGATAATGCCTTTTCACTTCAGAACATTAATGCTTCGTCTGATCGCATTTTGCATGGTAACCAACACACTACAGGCCATTTACCACCAAGACCGGAATGATGAATTGTGTGTTCATGAGTATCAAACAAGGACGTGAGCGCTTAAATCCGTGAGCTTGACACACAGAGCAGTCAAAATATGCTCCGATCTCAGACCTGTCCAAATTTTTCCAATCTTTGCAGTATTGCGACCCATGGTGACCCGAGCCCCACCCTCCAAACCCGCGTTACGCGCTGCACGGGGTCAGCGGACCTCTCCGCTTCTCACCTTCAACCTCTGGCGCGCCAGGGCCGTCACCAGGGCACAGGTCACCGCCAGTCGCCTGTCAGCCGGCGGCGGCGTATCCACGCTGACCTCTCGACCCGCCGCGTGTCGCAGTGTCACGGTCAGCGGGCTGGCCGTGACCCCCGCCGGCTGGAGGTCGGCCGGGTCAGCCGGATCAGTCTCACGTCGCTCCGCCAGCTGGCCTGTCTCCAGGTGGAAACAGCCCAGGGCGCTGTGGAACGCGCAAGGTCAGGGTCGTGCAGAGGTCGCGCGCGACGGGATAAGTAGGGTAACGGTGCTGGCTGTGGTAGCATCTAGTTCAAAAATCACAATTCTTTGCTGCAAATATTTTCTCTTTATGACCTTTAAAGCTCCAACAGCCCAACACGCACTCTCAAGACAAACATCCCAATTGCACGTAGCGTGGCTATCAGCTCCTGACAAGATCCATATCGTCTGTTCGTCCGACATCCGACTTTGTCTTCCACGCCTCCCGGTTCTTACACAATCCCTTATTTCCCGGGGGTATCGTCCCTGCCTTTACCCCACTTGGGATCCACTTGCTCGGATCCGGTACACGAGGAGCTCTTGATAAATCTTGATGTCCAGGTCATGGGCGGGAATCGCCATCCTGATTCAGCCGGGCACCCCCAGAGAGGTCACTGCAAACAGACAGGTGGGTGACACATTGATGTGAGCATCAGCTTCCCACTCAGGCTTTGCCGTGAAGGCGTGTGAGAGGAGATGGTGCTCCGCCAAAGTCATATGCAATGTCGTTATCTGTTTTCAGCTCCAGAGATGGCTGTGCTCCACTCACAACATCCGCGAGGTAAAATGTTGACGAAGAATGAAGCCGAATGTGGCACAACAGCATGCCACAAAGTTTCTAGTATTAACTGGTGAGGACTGACAACCAACCACTTCTTTATATGGCAGACAGACAGTGCCAAGACCCAGAGGGTGATGTGACATGGTGGCGCCGCCTATATGCCAATCATTGACATACAAACTGCCAAACTGTTTTGTGCTTGGCTGACATGGTGCAGCTGTTAAGCAGCATGCCACTCCAATGTTCTGACCGAGTGGCCCCTACATCATTGATTTCACCACCCTGCCTGCCAGCACCCACCCACAAAGCATCAGTTTGGGCAGCTATATCAAAGTTTGCACACCTGGGTACAAATCCCCTGTTAAGCCTGCGAACTGTGCACCTGACAATGCAAAAAAAAAATATGGAGGATTTCACACCCTGTAGTGACTTGCCCAAGTTCAAAAATCAGACAAAATGTTCACAAAGTACACTTTGTAAGTACACTATTTAGTAACATAATGATGGTGCATTTGCATACTCCTTTAAGTGCTTTACTAAGATACAGCTGAAGCAAGTTTGAAATAGCATGCATTGAATGCATGAAGGTAGCCCCTATTCAATTCACACTGCACTTTAAGAAGGAAAGTGACCACTTGCTGTGCTTTGCATTCAGCCTCAAACAACTATCCTGGGACATTATAGTGCCTGCTCTCAGAAAGCAAAGCAATGTAATCATGATGTATACTGCCACCTCTTTTATTTCAGAGAAATATGACAAATGTTAATTGCTGTGTAATGGTAATGAATGTGAGTCCCAAACAGGGCACATCATTTGGCCTAACTTCCATACAAAGGTTGGCTCGTGGCTGGCAAGCAGAGGCCGACCAGACCACAGTAGCTGTGCTGGTGTGTTACATGTAAAGCCCTCATCCTCTACAGTCCCATCTGGTAACAAAACAAAACAAAACAGAGGCAAAATTTCTGTTAAACTGGGCAGAAGCTCAGCAACTTAAAATGAATAGCAGCTCAGCAGCTTAAACTGAATGGCACCTCAGCAGCTTAAACTGAACAGCAGTTCAGCAGTTTAAACTAAACAGCAACTTAGGTGTTCTTTTCAGGGCATATGCAATATGCTTGGAATAGGTATTCTGTACACCAAAACTACAAATGGAAACCATTTTGAACATCTTTTTAAATATTAAAACTGGTATCAACTCTCAACCTGCACAGTAATTGATATACAGTATATTTTATTACCATCACAACAATATGTCATCATTCAAACAGCAAATAAATGGCAAGACTTTGTTTTTGTCAATATATGAACCATTCTGACATCTCATTGACCTCAATCAATGTGCAATGTTTATCTTTAATCATTTTGATATCATAGGTCAAATACTCTACAAGTATTCTCAACAGCAGGAACAAAAATGTCAAAAATGCCAAAATGTCAATAAACAAAAATGATCAAAAATGTCAAAAATGTTTGCCCGTCCCGGTGGCTCAGTTGGTTAGAGCGCCTGCATTCCGACCCACCCATCCATGGCGGGATGGGTTTGAGTCGCTTTAGGGTGCTCGCTATTTGCCCTTGGGCCGGTGGCAGCGGTCGCGCTAAAGGTCAGTTGACGTCAGAGGGCAGGACGGACCGTGCCGAGCATTGCGGCACGTAAAACTTTCATCACTAAATTCTGCCGTTGCCTGGAACTGCGTGATCTGATGGTGGGGGTCAGGGCTCACACAACAAGCACTGCTTAGCGTGAGCGCTGATCCCAGAAATCCATCCATTCAAAGGATTTGGACCAAATTTATAAAAAACTGGTCGAGCACTTTCCATGTGCTGAAAGTGAACAAGATATCTTGAATTTGACACGGACTCTGCCAACATGGGGTGGAGGCAAGACTATCTAATGAGGGAAGTAATACCACAATGACAGAGTCTTGACACACTTGATAATATGCCTGTAGTTTTCCATGGCAAGGAACAGTGCAAGGTCATATAAAATCATGTTGCAACTTTCAAGATGGTCTACCTATATTATCAAGGTTCTAAATGTGCTGTCTATTGGCGTACCACATCCTAACACATGCTTCTCATTAAAACACCATAACTGCCAAGGCCACAATCAGGGCAATATATGTCGCAGCGAAAGCTAAGAATAAATGATAATTGGTTGCCACGGGTACATGCCCCCCAGATGCATCACAATTACTATCAAGACTGGTACATACCCTTATATCAATACACGAAAGTCACGAACAGGAAATGGAACTTGTCGCGTCATGTTAGAATCATAATCTGCTACCAAATATACCAGAATGCTTCCAAATTGTGAATTTTACGTGTGACATGCATTACAGATTGAGGCCCTGGTGGCGAGCAGACTAAGCACCAGCGTCTTGACCTGTCAACAGATGAGGCGGCGGGCGGCAGACAACGCGGTGCTTAAGGGTGCTCAGCAGCGAGGCCACAGGCCGAGTGCGGCATACTTAGGTTACCTGCTTCAGCTTTAGCGGCCGGGTCCGGCTCGATCGCGTCTGGGAAACCAGATGCACCAACAATGTTTGATTCCTCGGCCTGCGCGTCTGTGAAACCAGAGGTGCGGGGATCGAGTCCTCGTTGTGTTCCATCAATATGGAAACCGTAAACTGTAACTTTAAAAACAGTACCGAGCACAAAGCAAAACCAGGTTCATGTCCCGTCAACCCCGCGTCGCACCGACATGGGACCAACGCATCCAGATGGAGAAGAGAACGGACAACCACATCGGTATAGGCTCGTACCAGAGTGGGCAACGGGCCGCGCGTTCACGTGCGCTGACCATCAATCCGCCCGCTTTAGGGTGTTGTTTTTCAAGGAACGAATAAAGATCTCAGCGATCAGAGCAGGTAATAACTTGAAACCAAGCTAACCACGCTAAAACCAACTACACCGAATAGGGAAACGTATGTGTCGTGCAGGAGACACCAGGCGATCTCGTTCTTGACGCTGTGCTATCTGCTAAGTGTGTTGGCAGTTGACCGGGAAGTGGCCAACGATTCACCTAGTCCAGAGCTGATGAGCAACATCCTCCCTCCCCCCCCCCCCCCCACACACCGTTTTCGTAATGTTGTAGTCACATACGATCTTCAGAAGTACACAGCTATCATCTATCGTTTGCTACCAATGAACGGTCAGCACTTGGGTCTGTAGGTGCGTCTCTGTATCTGTTCGAGTCTGTTGACATTTTCTGCTCTGCGAGCATGTCTGCTTTCCTCCGCATGCTAAGCAATTGAAAGACAGGTGTCCCAATGCAATAAACCTATTTGTGTATGCTACCAAACGGAACTATCTGAATTCGCTTATGTTTGGATTTCATCAACATGATGATGCACTCACCATCTTTGACAGCCTCACTTGTTCCACGCTACAGAGTGTATCCTTCTCTTTAGAGATTGGAGGTATGAGCGCCAAAAACGTGGTGCAAAGAGGGGAGGCCCATCCTCCATCTCTCGAAAAAATTGGCGCTAAATTCATGGTTTAGTGTGGAAAAAGACAAGCAGAAGAAAAACACTCGGCCTCCCTCGATTCTTCGAAGGATTCATAGCAAATTATTCTGTGCGTGACATTCTACACCCTGGTTGGTGTTTTGAGTGATAGGTGGTGAGCAAAAGTGTTATAGGATGGCATCTTAAATCGATTGCAAAATACTACCGACAATTAGTTGAAGTCAGGCCTCACCACTAAGCGAAATCACGCCCAAACCTATTAAACTTACGAATTAACCATACCAACCGCACAAAAAAGAAATGCAGTAGTTCGGGGGGGGGGGGGGCGCTGCAAGCGACGAAGTGCAATACAGCTAACGGCGGTGCAATGCACGATAAAACGTTCCCGGAAGCAATTGTAAAAAAAAATGTGAATATTGGATCTTCACGAGCTCACTGAATTTTGTGCGTTGCATTATAGCATTTCGTAGATAACTATAGGCTATGCACTGTTCCTCCCGCCGACTGACGCCTAGTCACGTATGTACTGCGCACGTCGCATCTGATAATGGTGTACTGTGTGCAGAAGGAGCAATATTTTCTTGAAACAACCTGAATCTGCCGGCACCTCTATCGGTGTCAGCCGAAGGCACACGACGACCGACTACGAGAGGTGCAATTTTTCACTACGAAAACCGTGCCTACCTACCATCCCCTGCCGGGACTAGCCGAGATGTTCACAAGTGCCCGGCTGAAGCGACCAGAGTTGAACTAGCGCTGGTATCGGTTTCCAATGCATTTATTGCAAGCCAACCTGTCCTGGTGTTTGTAGATCCTCTTCATGGTTGTAAAGCCTACTGCAGGGGACCAACGATACCGAAGCTATATCACCCGCAGGCACCACAGAACTGAGCCTGTATCACCCGCAGGCACCGCAGAACCGAACCTGTATCACCCGCAGGCACCGCAGAACCGAGCCTGTATCACCCGCAGGCACCTCAAAACCTAACCTGTATCATCCGCAGGCACCGAAGAACCGAGCCTGTATCACCCGCGGGAACTGCAGAACCGAACCCGTATCACCCGCAGGCACCGCGGTACCGAGGCTGTATCACCCGCAGGCACCTCAGTACCGAACCCGTATCACCTGCGGGTACCTCAGTACCGAACCCGTATCACCCGCAGGCACAGCGGTACCGATTGGCTACGAAAGCTGTCACTTAAGACGACAAATAGCAGCCAGTGACCCAAAAGTGGACAAGAGCAACAAAGATGTCCAGAAGGCCGTCTGATGTCCGAATATCGTCAGGGCTTGAATATCAGGCTGCCCTCCTCTCATCCATACCACACAGAGTAAATTAGTACCTTAAACGATTGTCCACTGGCCCGAATGTAATTGACGCAATCTTTGGGGCTTTTCCTTTTCCATATTAATCTTGGCTCA